TAGCTGAGCCATCCTGCTACCTGTTGGCAGCTCAGCGGCTGCTCAGCTCGGGCTGGACTCGAACCGCTGTTGCTCAGAGCTCCAACTCTTGAGCGAGCTCTTAACCAATGGGATATTTTTTAACCACCAGGAAATGTATATTTGGGTTACATATCCCTGGGAGGACTGCTTCATGGGTCCAATGCCCCCTCTATAGCTCCCCGAAATCACACCCTTCAAGACAACTTTCTTTCCAGTCAGTTGGGTGGGGGTGTCTTTACTTGTAATTCACACTTACACTGAAACTGTAGCCCTTTGAGGTCCCAGTTTTAGACTTCCCCCTTCCACAAGGCTTTGTCTCCTGTTCCATTTGCCCCATGAGGCCTAGAAACACTAATCTTCAGTTGCCAACTAAGGTACAAGCCCTAGAGTAAAAAATGATGTCATTGTTTTACTTATTCTCTGGATCCTGCCTTCACCTAGATTTTGGTCTGATAATTTCTTATCTTCTTGTTGACTCCAATATTTTACCAATATATTTCATGGTTTTCAGTTGGATAACCTGTTAGACATATTATCAGCCATATTACAAAAAAGGAACAGCCAATATTATTGTAAAAACTTCGTATGGTGACAGATGGTTACTAGACTTATCATGATCACATAAATAAATGTAGAATCACTATGTTGTACACCTGAACCTAATATCATATTGTATGTCAACTATACTTTAATAAAAAAATTTTTAAACATTATTGAAAGAAATTAAAGAAGTAAATGGAAAGAAATCCTGTGTTTTTGGATTGAAAGGCAATATTGTATGACTATAATACTCCCCAGATCTACAGATTTAATTAATTTTCTATCAAAATTTTAACTGCTTTTGTGTATGTGTGTGTAGAAATGGACAGTTGATCTTAATATTTATGTGGAATTCCAAGGGACCCTGAGTAGCAATATTGTAACAATCTTGTAAAGAACAAAGTTGGAGGTCTGACACTTTCTGATTTCAAGACGTATTACTGCATTTGTTTTTCATGAAGATGGCGTCAAAAGCGAAGAAGAAAGCCCCTGCGCCTCCCAAAGTCAAAGCCAAAGCAAAGCCTTTGAAGGCAAAGAAAGCAGTGCTGAAGGCGTCCACAGCCACAAAAAAAGAAGATCTGCACGTCACCCACCTTCTGAAGGCCCAAGACACTGCGGCTCTGAGGCAGCCCAGATCTCCTGGGAAGAGCGCCCCCAAGAGAAACAAGCATGACCACTATGCCATCACCAAGTTCCCTCGAACTACCAAGTCAGCCATGAAGAAGATAGAAGACAACAATACACTGGTTTTCGTTGTGGATGTCAAGGCCAACAAACACCAGATCAAACAGGCTGTGAAGAGGCTCTATGACATTGACGTGGCCAAGGTCAACACCCTGATCAGGCCTGATGGAGAGAAGAAGGCATATGTTCTTCTGGCTCCTGACTATGATGCTTTGGATGTTGCCAACAAAATTGGGATCATCTAAACTGAGTCCAGCTGGCTAATTCTAAATATAACAATTTTTCACTGTAAAAAAACCCCAAAAACATTATAAAGCCATAATGATCAAAAGCAGTATGATGTCTGGATAGAAATATAGATCAAGGGAATAGAATTGAGAGCCCACAATTAAACCCATGCACTTATGGTCATTTTTGACAAGGGTCTCAAGACTGTTCAATGGAGGAAAGAATAGTCTTTTCAATAACTGGTGCTGGGATAACCGATATCCACATGCAAAAGAGTGAATTTTGACTACTATTTTACAACATATACAAAAATTAACTCAAACGAAACTAAGATACAAATGTAAGAGCTAAAACTATATAACTTTTAGAAAAAATATAGGTATAAATCCTCATGACCATGTGCTAAGGTCTGAATGTTTGTCACCCCAAAAGCCGTATGTTTAAATCCTAAACCTCAAAGGTGATGATATTAGTAGGTGGGGGCCTTTGAGAGATGATTGGATAATGAGGGTAGAACCCTCATGAATGGGATCCCACAGAGCTCCCTAGCCCCTTCTACTATGTGAGGATACAGTAAGTCTGCAACTTGGAAGAGGGCCCTCACCTGACCATGCTGGCTCTCTGACCTTGGACTTCTACCCTCCAGAACTGTGAGCAATAAATTTCTGCTGTTTGTAAATTACCCAATCTGTGGTATTCTGTTATAACAGCCTGAACAGACTAAGACACCTTAGATTAGGTTAACAGTTTCTTAAATATGACACCAAAAGCACAAGCAAAGAAAAAATTGGACCTCATCAAAATTGAAAAGTTGTACGTCAAAGGACACTGAAGAAAGTCAAAAGACAACCCACAGAATGGAAAAAAAAATATTTGCAAATCATATATCTGATAAGGGTCTAATATTCAGGATACATAAAGAACTCTTAAAACTTAATATTGGGCTGGCCAGGTGGCACAGTTGGTTAAGAGCTCAAGCTCTAAGCAACAGGGTTTTTGGTTCAATTCCCACATGGGCCAGTGAGCTGCGCCCGAGCTGAGCTGCTGCTGAGCTGCCAACGGGCTCAGCTGGTGAGAATGCATGCTCTTAACAACAAGGTTGCTGGTTTGACTCCTGTATGGGATGGTAGACTACACCCCCCCGCCCCCCTGCCCCACAACTAGATTGAAAGCAGCGACTGGACTTAGAGCTGAACTTGTGCCCTCCACAACTAAGATTAAAGGACAACAATTTGACTTGGAGCTGATGGGTCATGGAAAAACATGATGTTCCCCTTCCCCAATTACCAACACTGTTCCCTTCTCCAATTCCCCAATAAAAATCTTAAAAAAAAAAAGTTAAATATAGAGCTACTGTGTAATCCTGCAATTTCACTGCTAGTAATATATCCAAGAGAATTGAAAACATCATCAAACAAAAACTTGTATTCAAATGTACATGGTACCATTATGCACAGTGCAAACAACCTCAATTTCTATTAACTGATGAATGAATAAATGAAATGTGGCATATTCATACAACAGCATATGAGGTCTGACAAGTAAGTTCTCGAACTCATCCTAGAAAAAGTGCTACATACGTACCTTATTGCTGAATATCACTCTGGTCACCTTTGAAGTCCTCCCCTTGAGAAGCTATGCACTGATGCCAGCACCTAGTCCACCCTTCAAAGCAATTTTGGAAGTCTTTTTGGAATGGCCATCCGAGCTGTCTTCGTATTGCACTTCATGTCCTGAATATCATCAAAATGTCTTCCTTTCAATATTTCCTTTATTTTCGGGTAAAGAAAGAAGTCATTGGGGGCCAGATCAGGTGAGTAGGGAGGGTATTTCCAATACAGTTATTTATTTACTAGGTAAAAACTCCCTCACAGACAGAGCCGTGTGAGCTGGTGCTTTGTCGTGATGCAAGCGCCATGAATTGTTGGTGAAAAGTTCAGGTTGTTTTCATCTTTTTCACATAGCCTTTTCAGCGCTTCCAAATAATAAACTTGGTTAACTGTCCAGTTAGTACAAATTCATAATGAATAATCCCTCTGATATGAAAAAAGGTTAGCAACATTGTTGCAACAGGTTTGCGAACTTAATTGTCAGACCTCATATTTTTCAGTCATACATAGGAGTGAAGCACTGTCACATGGTACAAAATGAATGAACCATAAAAACGTGCTAAGTAAAGGAAGCCACACACAAAAGGCCACATAGTCTATGATTAAGTTTATGGGCAGTGCCCAGAATAGGCAAATTAGTGGTTGCCAGGGGTTGTGGGGAGTGGGTAATGAAGTAACTGCTCAATGTGTACAGAATTCCTATTAGAGGAATGTTCTGGAATTAGTGGTGATTGTTGCACAATATTGTGAATATACTAAAAGCCACTGAATTGTACACTTAAAAGTGTTTTAAATCATGGATTTCATGTAAATTTTGCTTCAAAAACAGGGGCGATAATAATGAGTGTAGTTTTGCCCATGTTGGGTTTGAAGTGCCCAGGGAATATTCTAGGTAGGTAGCTGGCCAATAAAAGAAGGGAACACAAGTGATCTAGGCTCAAGATACACATCTGGGAATAGATGTTGTTGAAGTCCTAAGAGTAGATGAGTCAGCTGTGGAATCACTTAGAGTAAGAGAAGAGGAAAACCTGCAATAGGACCCTGAGGAAGACCAACATTTTAAGACATGAGCATAAGAAGAGTACACTCCTAAGGAGATTGAGAAGAAGGAAGCAGAGTGGTAGGAGGAAGAGTGTGGGACACAAAAGACAAAGAAGAGGATTTGTGAAAGTGTAGTGGTCAGAAGTGTTAAATGCTACAGGAGTAAAATAAGATAAGGCTGACAAATGTCCATTGGACTTAGAAAAAAGGTAGACATCGTTTCATCTTTTAAAACGAGGTAGTTTTCTATGTACAAGTTTAACATACAAAAATCCCAAGCCCTATGAATGATTGAAAGTTGAATAACTCTGATTCCATTTATGTAAAATTTTTGAAAGCAAAATAAAATCATACATTTTTGTAAGTATATATAGATGTGGTTGCATAATGTATTTTTTTAAAAAGATTTTTATTGGGGAATTGGGGGAAGGGGAACAGACAATTTGCTGTCCTTTTGTTCTTCAGTCTAGTTGTGGAGGATGTTGCTTCACTGGCCCAAGTTGGCACCATCATTGCGCTCTTCCTGGGTGAGGCAGATCAGTCGCCGGCTTCTGGACGGCCGCTCAGGCTGCTGGCCGCTCACGCAGGCTGCACACGGTAGCCCATGGCAACCCACTGCCACAGGGGCTGCAGCCTATGCCGTCGCCGGTGACTCACGGCAGCCCAGCTCCAGGTTGAGCTGTTGTTCAGCATCTTAGCTGTGGAGGGCAGTGTCACTGGCCCTCATATGTGGGATCCGAACCGGGGCCCTCTGGTGTCCCAACCCAGCTCTTAACCAACGCGCCACTAGGCCGGCCCTGCATAATCTATTTTTAATTTAAAATATGTGTAATATTTGCCACATTGAAAATATATGTAATGCAGGCTGGCCGAGTGGCTCAGTTGGTTAAGAGTTAGCTTAAGAGCACAGCTCTGAGCAACAGGGCAGCTGGTTCGATTCCCACATGGGCCAGTGATGCTGCTCCTGAGCTGAGCTGCCACTGAGCTGCCAACAGGTGGCAGGATGACTCAGCTGTTGAGAGCACGTGATCCTAACAATAAGACTGCCTGTTCAATGGTAGGCTATGCCTGCTCGCAACTAAAACTGAACTTGCCACCTTGAGCTGAGCTGCCACCCAGATGGCTCAGTGGATAGAGCATGTGCTCTTAACAACAAGGCTGCTAGTTCGACTCCCGCATGGGATGGTGGCTACGCCCACCCGTAACTAAGATTATAACACAGCACCTTGAGCTTAGAGGCCAGGAGCTGCCGATGGGCAGCCAGATGGCAACTAGCGCCCTCCACAACTAAGATTGAAGAACAACAACTTGACTGGTCCTCCTCCCCAATTCCCCAACACTGTTCCCCTCCCCCAATTCCCCAATTAAAAAAAAATATGTAAATGTAAAAGTATATGTAAATTATGAAGCATAATAATAAAATGAAAACCAGTAAACCCACCACTGAATTGATGAACTATAACATTACCAAAACCATTGAGGCTATCTACAAATATATGTTCTTTTCTAGCCTCATCACCTTTGATCCCTCCAAAAGAGAAATAGTAACTCCAAGAGGTAAGTAACCACTACCCTGAGTTTTCAAAGTATTTCTTTGGTTTTTAAAAAATATAATTTTACAATATATGCATGTTTCCTTAAACAAAAGGTTATTACTTATGCCAACTTTATATCTTTATAATAATGGTATATGATACATAGACTTCTGACTTGCTTTTTTCACTCAACATCCCGTGTGTAACTAGTTTATTCCATTTTTATCTAATGCTCATTATGACTTCTTGAAAATATCTATTGTTTTTTAAAGATTTTTTTTTATTGGGCAATTGGGGGATGGGAACAGTGCTGGGGAATTAGGGGAAGGGGAACAGACAAGTTGCTGTCATTTTGTTCTTTAGTCTAGTTGTGGAGGACGTTGCTTCACTGGCCCAAGTTGGCACCATCATTGCGCTCTTCCTGGGCGAGGCAGANTCACGCTGGCTGCTGGCTACATACGGTAGCCCATGGCAACCCACTGCCACAGGGGCTGCAGCCTATGCCGTTGCCGGCGACTCACGGCAGCCCAGCTCCAGGTTGAGCTGTTGTTCAGCATCTTAGCTGTGGAGGGCAGTGTCACTTGCCCTCATATGTGGGATCTGAACCGGGGCCCTCTGACATCCCAAGCCAGTTCTTAACCATCGCGCCACTCGGCCGGCCCGAAAATATCTATTTTTTTGTCAGACATTTGAGTAGTTTCAAGTACTTTTGTTTTTTTTTATGAATAATGGTGCCGTGAACATTCTTGAACATGTGTCCTGGTGCATATGGGCAAAGGCTTCTCTATATAAAATTAGGAGTGAAACTCCTGGATCATAGAGAAAGCACATCCTTTATTTTTCAGGTTATGCCAAAGTAGTTGTACCAATATAGACTTCTGCCAGCAATGCCTATATGTTCCTATTATTCTATATTTTTGTATTATCAGACTTCTTAATTTTTACCAGTGAAATGGCTTTGTGTGACATCTCACTATGGTATCAGCATTTCTACAATTACAGTGGAGGGGGGCATTTTTCATATTTTATTCATATTTGTCCTCCCTCTGCAGTCCTGGTTAAAACATAATTCAGAATAATACTTCCTCCTTGGAAGACTTCCCTAGATCCACAGGCTAGATTAAGTGTTGCTACCAATACTTTGTACATTTCTGTCATTAGATTTCAACAAACCTTCCTTTTTTAAAAAGATTTTATTGGGGAATTGGGGGAGGGGAACAGCATTGGGGAATCAGTTGCTTGCTGGTCATTGGACCATTCACAGAGGTTCAGGGCAGCTCACGAAACAGTGACTCATGGCAGTCCAGCTCCAGGTTGAGCTGTTGTTCACCATCTTAGCTGTAGAGGGCGCAGCATCACTGGCTCTCATGTGGGATCGAACCGGGGCTGCTCAGAGCTGGGGTCCCAAGCCAACTCCTAACCAACATGCCACTTGGCCTGCCCAAACCTTCCATTTTTTTAAAGCTAACTTGAGTATCTCTTCTTTACAGCCCAAAGTATAGTCTAACTCATCACTTTATTATGGAAAATTGCCCCTTTTTACACCCATTTTTTCCCCCCGCTCCATATTACTTGGTTTTTGATAACTTTAGAAGGTCAAGCACAAAAATATACCTATCTTCTATAATTACACAAAGATTTTAATCATGCCAAGTGGGAGCAGTTTTTTGTTTTTTTTTTTTATTTGAATGCAGTCGAACTATATTTTTAAGAATTGATAAAAACAGATTCTCTACCCCCAATCCCCAGGCAACGGGTCAGGGTTTAAACAGGAAATCGAGGAGCGATCCCCTCCCCCACACCGGCTTGGCGGAGAAACCCAGTCGCGCCTCTGGGAGAGGTTGGGGTGGGGGGCGGACTCCTGCCTGGGACTGAAGGTGAGTCGAGCCCCCAGACTCTCGGCCCTCTTCAGGAATATGCTCCCCCGTCTCCCAGCTCTGAGGTGTGTCTCCCTGGGTGTGTAAACGTTGCGTGCGCGTCGCCCTTTATAAACAGAAGCTCACACGAATAGTGGCTAACTCGGACCCAGGCCAGGGAGCAGGGCGGGGTCATATGTCAAACTGCAACACATTCAGGGCCACGTACATTTGGAAGAAATTAAGCCACTGTGTTATGAAACCATATGTGTCGGGTTAAGACTATACAACACGCCATTAGCACCAATTATTGGGAGGATTCCGAGCGCCCAAGACCCTCCGGGCCGCCCGATTCTGACGTCCCTACTCCAAGAGCCAGCTGCGCCTTGAGTCCTCACTGCCTCCACTCACCCAGAAGGCCCTGCCAGCGAGGCCTGGGCCTGTCCCCACCCAGCCTGGGGCCTCCTCCAATTCCCACCTCCGCCCCAGGCAGAGCAGATCCTAGCCGAGAGCAGCCAGGCCGATGTGGGTGAAGCCGGGAGCAGTTTTAATTCACATAAAGTTTGAATCTTGATGACAAAGTAGCCTAAATTGGAGCTCTAGACAGAGATGTTGAGAAAAACTGATTGGTATCTGGCTGTTTAAAATTATTTTGCTATGCTTTAAAGATATGCTGTGATTTTTAAAAATCAAATATCAATTTTGTGAATATTATGTGTCTAGCTTGGGCATTTACAGGTGAATAAACCATGTCCCTTTCTTGAAGGAACTTAATGTCCAGTAGGGAGACTATGTGAGAAACAGATGATTATCATACAGTGGTCTATGCCCTGGATGATGACGCTGGAACTAAAGCGACATGGCTGGGCCTCTGGGACACTAGATCTTCATCAGGATACCCCCATAGCTCCAGCAGTTCTGATGACAGCTTGGGTGCCTTGTCGAGAGAGAATTTGAATAATTTCCTTTCCCAATCCAGGCCACAGAGATGCCTAATCTAGTGACCTTCTGTTTTTGACATGATTCACCTACTCTATCACCTATCACTGCATTTTTCTTTTGCTATCAATTCATTGGCTTTACTATCTAGTTTATCCACATATCCAGTTTAAATTCTTGAGAGGATCTGTTTGGTCCAGCTAAACAATGTTTTTCTCACAGGTTACATGATATGCTGCTGACCAGTTGGGTCAGATGTGACCATAGGAATAGGGTCATAATGTATATAATATGCCTACCAATATCCAAGTTAATTATCTATAGCCGCTTTCCTAAGCAAGGGCCTGTGAGGAAAAACTCCTTAGGAAGAGGTTGACTGGCATTGCAAGCGAATGGCTTGGCCTGTTTTCTGCAAGTATATGCAGGTGTATCATTTAGGGTTGTTTCTGTTTAACAGATGGAAAACTTAGTTCTAACTGATTTAAGAAAAGGAATTTTTTGGCTTATATACTGAGATGCCTAGAAGCATATCCGGCTTCATGAATGGCTGAATCCATGTTCTCAAGTGATATAAAAAATCTTTCACCTTCTTCTAGCTCTGCTTTCTCCTGTGATGGTTTTATTTATTTATTTTTCAATCACAGTTAACATTCAATATTATATTAGTTTCAGGTGTACTGCATAGTGATTAGACACATTATTTAGTGATTCCCCTGATTAGTCCAGTACCCACCTAGCTATATACATGTGATGATTTTATTCTTATCACAACTAGCTCCAAGCTTATCTTCCCCCATATTTAAGTGAAAAAGATAGCCCTCCCTGCACCCATCTTTTTTCTTCTTCTTAGCATTATTCCTGATAGAATAAACCAGCATAGTGTAATGGTTGAGAGCATGGACTCAGTAACCACACTAGCTCCATCACTTACTGTTTGTATAACCTTAGGCAAGTTGTTTAACCTCTGCAAACCTTTCTTAGTTTCTTCATCTGTGTAACAATAGTTCCTACATAGGTGGGTTGCTCTGAGGATTAAAGTTGCTGATATTTGCAAGATGCTTAAAATAGTGCCTGGTACAATATAAGGGCTAACCCACCAGGCTTTGATTGGGTTATAAGTATATCTCTGTGTCCTAAGGTGTCTGACTAGGGTTGCGACTTTCTACTCAAACTACAAATATCTGGAGTAATGGAAGGACGATTTAAGAAATGTGGAGCGCCATTACCACAGAAGGGAATGGATGTTAGAGCAACATAAACAACAAATGTTTACTATAGGAAAGTTAGCAAACTGATGCTTGAGACAACTTCTCTCTCCTTAAGGTTTTATTTTACTAAATAAGGAATGCATGAATTAGTGTACAGTTTCTAACGATACAAAGGGATACAGAGTAACCTGAAAGGATTTCTTTGTTTATTCTTGTGGTGGTTAAAAATAAGGCACAAATTGCTCTTTTCATTTGCAAAAAAAGGTAATTAGCATTTGTCTAGCACTTTACTAAACAAAGTACTTTCCCATACATTAGTTAATTGAGTCCTTGCAGTAGCTCTGGGGAGTAGGTATTAGTAGCCCTCAATGGGTAAGGAAATTTAGCAAGTAGCAATACTGATGGATGTAAATTTTACAGATGGTAGTAATGATATCGCCTTTCCAATTGATCTCCCACTGCATTTTATGTTGTTGGTACTCAGCATATGTAATCATTTCTTTCATTCAACAAAAATTTATTGAGCACTTACTACGCACTAGGCATTGTTCTAGGCACTGAGGATATAGCAGTGTACAATCTCTGCATCCCTTAAGTTTACATTGTAGTGGGGCAGAGCATAAAATAAATAAAATAGTACAGTAGATGGGGATTCCAGCTATAGAGTAAAATTAAATAGAAAGCGCAGATAGGGAGTGTGTAGGTTATGTTTCAATTTTATATAATGTTCAGAATTTTATATAGTCAGAATTCATTGTTGTTTGCAGCTCCACTAGGACAGTAATTTACTCTCACTCCCATTTACCTTTCCTACTCCCAGCACTTAGCTCAACACCAGTCACTTAGGGAGACAATAATTTTATATTGAATAAATTATAAGCCTTCTGAGAAGCAAGCAGTTGGGAAACAAAGGTCTGTAAATAGATATTGACCATCAAGTCCGTAAATCGAATAATCTAATCATTCGCGATTAGCTCGTATCTATTACGAGCGGTTTTTTTTTAGCATGTTTACATTACAGAATGAAAGGTATGTTAAATATTTTTACCGGTCAGCTTAGGTATTTTAGATATTTAACTACCTCTCTGGCCCTACCAGTGCGCATAAGCTTTTGTGTGTGTGCACTTTAAAAAAAAAAGAAAAAAAAAAAGCCAGTTCTCTTGGTATCAAGAGTAGTTGTTTTCTAGGGAAAGATCAGCCCTTGGGGTTTCTACTGAGGTGCTGGGTGGGGCCCAGTTATCAGCCTATCGAACCTCATTGAACCACAGAGCAAGGCTCTAATCCCCGACACACAAATTACAAAAAGTGAGAAATCCTGTAACATCCCTCGCGCCGTGTCCGGCCGGAACCTTGACCTCAAGATGGCGTCGCGTAGTCACAAGATTCAATCAGCTC